GAATTATTCAAGTTATGAATTAGAAGTGTTAGCCATAGTAAGATCACTGGAAAAGTTCAGAGTTTATTTGTTGGGTACAAACTTTAAAATAGTGACCGATTGCTCTGCTTTCACACAAACAATGAAGAAAAAAGAATTGTCAACACGAATTGCCAGATGGGCTTTACAACTTGAAGATTATAACTACACTATTGAACACCGCACAGGTAACCAAATGAGACATGCGGATGCACTTTCTCGACACCCAGTTATGGTGATCGAAGATGAGTTATTAGCCCGAATAAGATTGTTGCAGCAGAAAGATAATAACTTGAAACCCATTTTGACGTTGCTCAAACACAGATCATATGAGGATTATATTGAGCGAAGAGGAATACTTTATAAAGAACATAGAGGAACCCCTTTATTAATAATTCCCAAGAGCATGCAAGAAGAAATAATCAGAAAAACACATGAGGTAGGACATTTTGGTGTAAAAAAGATGGAAGCAGTTTTAGAAAAAGATTATTGGATCCCTAACTTAAAACCAAAGATAGTATCAGTGATACAGAATTGTATTCTTTGCATTGTGTCAAATGCTAAGAGTGGAAAACAGGAATGTTTTCTGAACCCAATTCCTAAAGAGATACCTTTACACACGTATCATGTAGACCATTTGGGACCAATGCCAAGTACCAATAAAAACTACCGATATCTGTTTGTGGTTGTGGATGCATTTACCAAGTTTGTATGGTTATATCCAACAAAAACCACATCGACACAAGAAGTATTGGACCGACTGCAGATACAACAGAGAGCATTTGGAAATCCACATCAGATAGTAACCGACCGAGGAAGCGCATTCACCTCAACTGAATTCCAAGAGTATTGTAATACGCAGGGAATAAAACATCTACTTATTACCACAGGCGTACCTAGAGGGAATGGACAAGTGGAAAGAATCCATCAAATAGTGATTAGAGTTCTCACAAAGCTTTCTTTAAACAACCCTTTAGAGTGGTACAAGTATGTTCATGATGTACAACGGTATATCAATGGAAGTTATCAACGATCAATTAAGAATATTCCATTCAAAATCATGTTTGGCGTTGATATGAAAAACAAAGAAGATTTAATGTTAAAGGAGATAATTGAACAAGAGAGCTTATTATTATTTGAAGAAGAAAGAGAAGATATAAGACAAGCAGCTAGAGACTATATTGGAAAAATACAAGATGAAAACCGAAAGGAATTTAACAAAAGAAGAAAGAATCCAACAAAATATCAAATTGGTGACTTAGTAGCCATAAAAAGGACTCAATTTGGCACTGGGCTTAAGGTTTGTCCTAAATTCTTTGGGCCGTACCGGATTATAGCAGTGAACCAACATAACCGATATGAAGTTGAAAAAGTTGGAGATGGAGAAGGACCAAAGCGAACCACTTCCGTTGCTGACTTTATGAAACCCTGGAAGAATAGTTCTTATTATTCTATGTTTCACAGCTGATGAAAGTAGTCCCGACAGCTTAGACAACGGCATTGATCAAGAGAGGCCAGCAAGTCCAGACAACCATACCCTAGACAACACAAAGCATGAGGGCATGCTTAACCAGCAGGAAGGCCGAGTTGTGGGAACAGGACGAGTCCATCCCAGAGGGGGGTTACGTGACCGGGCCAAACTAAAACGTCCGACTCGCTTCAGTTAGTCTTGAATGTCTGTGGCCGTCAGTTGTATCGCGCATTTACTGTATTATTTTTAATCGTTTGAAAGTATATTATTAATAANCAGGACGAGTCCATCCCAGAGGGGGGTTACGTGACCGGGCCAAACTAAAACGTCCGACTCGCTTCAGTTAGTCTTGAATGTCTGTGGCCGTCAGTTGTATCGCGCATTTACTGTATTATTTTTAATCGTTTGAAAGTATATTATTAATAAGCTGTTAGTGTTTATTATTACACCGTAATAAATCCCACATACATTTTGGGGAAGATTATTACTTTTTTTATCCTTTTTACAAAACGATCTAGTCGTCTAGTTATTTGTAATGGGCATAAGGGGATGTTAGAGCGCCATTCACCGGTTCGTTGTAACTCGTGACTTTGTTTGTTTTCTGTATCCACCGATTTGTTTGCTATGTAAAATGGACTTTTGGTGCACAAAATGTTGTGTAGTGCGCATATTGATAGTACAATTATCTTCACTTTGTTTGGTTCCAATTCGATAATTGAATTCAGAACTTTAAATCTTGAATTTATTAAACCAAACGCATTTCTTCCCTTGGCATGGCGATAATAACCTCCATCTCGTGATATTTTAAAAACATTTTATCTTAATCAACTTTTGTTGTACATTGCTCACAAAGGCCACTTTACCTGCAATAGTTAACAAACTTCTTGCGTTAACTTTGGTATTTTGAGGACATTTGACGTAAAACTTGGTTATATTTCGTTTTATGTCATCCAGACTTTAATTGCAAAAGATGGAATTTGAATTCCAAAATTTATCGTCAATTATACCTTACGGGGACACAATCCGGGGACACACTGTATACAAATTGATAATTAGAATTCACAATGGCTAGAAGAACCACACTATAAAAGTTCTTGTAGTTATAATAAAGAGCTCCAGAATGCTGAGGGCGTTTTATCCTAATATGTTTGCCGTCCATCGCTCCGCCACAATTACGAAAGTTCCATCGCTGTTGGAACCCTGAAGCGATTTCCCTCCATTCATTTTCATTTTTAGGGAACTGAAACAGTTATTTAGTGTTAGGCCTAAGAAAACAAGAAATATCAAACAAAAAATATCAACAACCACATTAAATTGTGTCATTAGTTGTCATTTTATTTATTTATTTATTTTTTTTCAGGAGGATGATGATTGCATTATCCTGGACGGCGATAATGCTGCTACTAGTAGTGGTGTCGTAATTAATAAAAGAGCTCCACAGGAACCGCATTGTGCATCATTGACGGAACCCTCTCCTACTTTAACTCCTACTCACGCTAGAAAGAAAATTAAAAAACAGAAGAGGAAGAACGAAGACAGTTTTTTAAAGCTTGCATAACAGCATTGCAAGGAAAACCGATTGAGAGCGAAAATCCGAATGAAGCGTTTGGGAAGTTTGTTGCGACAAAACTTGACAAGGTCACCAACGATATGCAAAGAATGTATGCTGAAACACTCATAAATCAAGTTGCTAGTTATGCAACAATGGGTTTCTTGAATGAGCACTCTTGCATTCAGTTAAACAGGCAGATTAGTGGTTCTGGAACTCCCAGTGAATTTTCCACCATACCGCACCCTTTGGATTCCCCAACTGATAATAACTTCTGTATCCGTCAGTATATCAACCAATTTCCACAAAATTCATAGTTTTGATTGTTTCATTTATTGCATATTTGATATTTCTTTAAAAATGATTGTGTATGTCAAAATACATACAAAAATGTAAATAAATAATCATACAGTTAATAATTAATTAGTTTTCTTTTCTTGTTTCTGGCATAACAGCAGTTAAATCTGACTCTAAAATTTTATAACTTCATGGTCAAATTTGTTAATTTGTTTCAAAACTTTACAATCAGGTTTGATCATCTTACTATCTCCTTATACATTCTTAATTTCAATATTTAAAATTTCTTATTTTTATTTTAATTTCAATATTTGAGCTTCTCTTTATTACGACACACACTAATAGTCTCTGAATCCAAATGATTAGTTATTTCAAAAATTAATGTTGTTAAATATCAAACTATGCTCACCTTTAAGTATTCGCATTGCAAGACGTCAATTATGGCTCTGCAAGTCTCTGGAATTATACGTCCTATAAGTTGAGGTGATATCCCAGAGCTGAATTTCAGACATTCGTAAGTCCTCCCGGTTGCCAAAAATCTCAATGTCACAATGAGGCGTTCTTCTGGAGAAATGAAGTCTCGCAATTGGGTATCTTACTTTTGGATATATGGTGTAACCAATAAAAGTAATTCTTTGAAAGTTTCTACATCCATTCTTAAGTAATATTAATAATAATATTATTATAAAATTAATTATTAATATTTATTAATTCATTTGTTAAATATCAATATTTAATAAATCTCCCACAAACACGCAAGGAATCCCAACGGCTTATGCGACGCGCCACGCTTTCCTTCAACGGGACAACATTCCCTTTGAAAGTGAGAGGAAACCACCCACCCACATTCGTTCATTCCTTCGGGTCTCAAAAAATCGATAAAACAACAGGTTTATGCTATTTCTCGTGGATGGGCAATGAAAGGATTGCGCGTCACACGACAAGCCTGAACGATGGAATGAGCGGATTGTCTCACAGGAAAGAGTGTAGGAAAGTGACTGTGTGGATGGTGATGACATGATTATCGATCATGCCATGCTTTCCTTCGCGATTACGGAAAGGATAAGCGTGACGGGAAAGAACGCCAGTGGATGGGGCGTAATTGTCATTTATTCCGCTTACAAAGATATCTTTAATTAATTGTTCTTTCAACACTCCGAAGTCGCATGTTGTTGCCAGATTTTTTAAAATTGTCACATATTGCTCAAAACTTTCGTTTTCTTGTTTTCTATTGAAAGATATGTATCTTTCATACGTGATATTCGTTTTCGGCTTGAAATAAATGTTGATCGAACTTTTTTATTACGTCCGCCATTTTGGTTTCGCTGCCCATTTCGAACGATTTATAAATCTACATTCCTTGTTCACCCATTCCATGTAATAGCAGAGCTGTTTTCTTCTTTTCTTTAGTATCATCGTCCATGAATGCTACCAGCCAATTGTCAAATCTCATTTTGAACTTTTCCCAATTGTTCGCCAAGTTTTTCTCCATTTTATTTATTTATTTTTTTTAATTTATTTTATTTCTCTTTACTATTACTTTTAATACGACCGTTTTACCCTTTGACTCCTCAGTACTGCCGTCGTTTTACCGGTTTTTTATTTACCGCTGTCACCATGTTATATTTTTCGGCTAGGTTTTAGGTTCGAAATGATGCAACATAATCTTATGAAGTTTGTTTATTAACTGCTGGTCATGTTTACAATGTAACGGTTGAGGGATCTAGAAACTACTTAGTTATATAAGTTGCCTATACAACACTTTTGTAAAGAGAAACTTTGTTGGACGACAATATCTCGTCGAGGAAGGATGTGGCTTTTCCCATTGAACCACTTTTTCTTGGGTACCATTTGTAATTCCAAGGAATTGAAGAGGAACTGCAGAATACATAAAAATACTGGTATTTGAGTAAACTATTGTTACCTCTTCATTTTCTTCCGAACCTTTGAGTCTTCTGTGTGGAACAATTGCATATACCTATTTATTAACTCCAGAAGTTCCATCACATACCCATTTGAATAAAATTCGAACTTTTAAAATTTTTGAGGATATGCTTCATCCTCGGGGAGAATTAATGTTTCAAATAGACGCTGGCACGTTAAATTTAATAGGCTTTGCAATTTTATTGAAGCGCCTAAAAAAGATTTAAATAACAAAAATTGCTTTGTTACAGTGTAGCTGAAATAAAATGCAAATTATGGTTTCAAATGCCAGAAATACGGAAACAATGGATGATTGTAACGAATGAGTATGATTCTTTGTGGAATTTTCCCCATTGCCTAGACATTCCGACGGAAAATATAATACTGCAGGCACCGATTCACAGCGGATGTGAATTTTATAATTACAAGGGTTTTTTTCAGAATAAGTGGAAATAAGACCGCGATAGGCTACAAGAACTGTCCACAATATTCTTAACGAAATTACTGAATACTGCATGCAAGAAGGGTCAGTAAGCTGGCAAGAAAATTATGCTTAAAATGAAACTTACAGTATCTGTTGTGGCGCCAGGTTAGTTTCTATCGAGTACAAATATCGTAGCTTTGTACGCAAACCAAGTACTATGGTAAAACTTCTTCTGCACCTGAAATTAAAACATGATTTTTATATATTTTTTAAAAATAAATAAATACTAACCTTTACCTGTACCACTGGATTGTTTCATTTTTTGTTTTTCCGTCCTCAATGAAGACTTAACTTGTCATTTTCATCTTGCTAAATTATGGTTAACTGTCGACTAATGAAACCAATCTAACCAAAGCGTCTTCTGTCTTGTTATAATGGTCTTGATGAGCCGGGTTCCATAAAACAGGTTATTCTCTATATTTGTCTATGAAATACACGGTTTTGGGAGATGCAGTGGGTCTTTACTGACTGAAGCGTAAGCCTTCAAAGAGCACTCGGAGCAAGCAACGAGCGGCTCGTTGCTCGCTTGTTTCCCCGTACTGACCGCACGAATGCTTGCTTTGTAACATGTTACATTACGCCGGAAATAACGTAGTAACAATATCACAGGCTTTTTGATAAAAATAAAAATAATTTTAATGATGGGTGAGGCGGGTCTGTGCGGTTACGCCAGAGGGCAACTGTTTTGAAGTTGCACTGTTAAACTGTTAAATTTTGCATGCACAGGTCTCTATAATTGCTCATTCTACCTTGGTACAGTTTTTCTTATTCTTAGTGCTACCATTAAAGGTTTCGACACATATAAATAATAATTCCAACGAAATCGTCCAGAAAATAAGTCTATTTTCTAAGAGTGTATTATTATTTTCCTTCCTTTTTTTGCGACTTATTAATAAAGGCATTATTATTATTATTAAATAGTATAACAAGGAATAAAACATACATCGTAATAGTCACAATATATATTTTAAATAACGTAAATGTCATTTTCCATTGTTTCAAATCAAATAGAACGTAATATTCAACTAATGAATATTGTGTGGTATTTTTAAAATTGGCACAATACAATTGCCTTCAAACAAAACATAGAATATCATAATATAAACAATCGTTTTGAGGAAAGCCGAATTGATTAAAATCACTTAATAAATCAATCATTTCATCAGAGACAATAATAAACATGGCGCAGTCATAATAATTGTGTACAGGAGAAGAAAAGGTAACAGAAGAATGGAGTTTAATAAGCCAATGCCCTTGGTCTTTGAGGGAAACCTCGCGGCGAACTATAAAACGTTCGAAACGGAAATAAATGTATACCTAACGGCAACAGAAACAAAGAAAAAACCAAAAGAAGTGCAGGTGGCGATATTAAAAAACCTAATAGGAAGAGAAGCATTATTAAAATATGAATCAATTAAAACTGTGAAACCTGAAGAGGAGTCTATGGAAAAGATTTTAGAAGCATTAAAAGAATATTGCGTTCCCAAAGCGAATGAGACGGTACAGTTGTTCAAGTTCTTTAAAAGGAAACAAGAAGATAATGAAAGTTTTGAATCATTTTATGCAGATTTAAAAAAACTAGTAAGATTATGTGAATTTGAGACCCAAGAAGATAAATTATTAAAATCCCAAATAATTCTCGGAGTGAAATCAAGAGGACTTCAAGAAAGACTCTTAAGGGAGGACATCTCGTTAGAAAAAGTAGTTGAATTTTGCAGATCGGTAGAATTGGCAGATATAAATTACCGGCAGAAATTTTTTATTTTTAACGGTCAAATTTATTATTTTTTTTTAATTGTCCACATCTGCCTCCCTCTCCCCTACTTGGTCCATTGACATTTTTTGAGAACATTTTGCAGTCCCAAAACTTCCGGCGATCTACTATTATCTTACAAGGAGACATCGTAGTTGACTCTTCACCAATTTTGATGAATTTTTCTATGGTGAATCTATATTGAATATAAGTAAGTTCCCCCAGAGCTTTCGATCGAATGGCCCTTCTAAAGGGACTTATTAATTTTTTAAAGTTACGATTTTTGAGAGTTGTTGTTGTAAGCTATAAAGCGAAGTCATCTTCCTTATCTGTCCGTAGTGCAGTGAATGAATGCCGCGCTCCTGTGCAGGAAGCCCAGAATCGGGATCGGTTGTTTCAACTTTTTTTTTGTTTTAATTATTTATTGTAATACTCCTACTCTATTGTTTTATTTATATCAATATATACGTAATTATATTTATATATAATTGTAATTTTTTAATTACTTTATTATTATCACTATTTGGAATTTTTTAATAATTCCTTTTAATAAAACCTCATAACACGTGTTTTTGTTTCAAAGCATATAACAGGACGTAAACTTATATTACAATTATATATAAATATAATTACGTATATATTGATATAAATAAAACAATAGATTAGGAGTATTACAATAAATAATTAATTGTAAAACCAAAAAAAAAGTTGAAACTCCGAATCCCGATCCTGGGCTTCCTGCGCAGGAGCGTTCATTCACTGCACTACGGACAGATATGTAAAATGGCGTCTTTTTATAGCTTATAACAACAACTCTCAAAAATCGTAACTAAAAAATTAATAAGTCCCTTTAGAAGGGCCATTCGATCAAAAGCTCTGGGGGAACTTACTTATATTCAATATAGATTCACCATAAAAAAATTCATCAAAATTGGTGAAGAGTCAACTGCGATGTCTCCTTGTTAGTTGATTTTAATATAAACGTAAATGGTGATACTATGTATGCATCAAGACTGATTAGCTTAAGGGGTTACCCCACCTTACTGAAACAGAAAACTGACGTATGAATTTACACCTAATAAAGATACTGAGTCAGAAATCGTACTGAAAACACTGAGAGGTGAAATAGACCCCCACCTACTGGGGATACGGATTGAAAATATAACAAAAACCAAACAAATTAAGCTTAGAATCGCAATTACAGAAAAAAGGGAAGGCGCTGCGGAAAAGTTTAGAAAGTTAATAGAGGAGAAAGTTGAAAAAATTGCCAGAATGACGATTAGAGAGACAAACCAAAAAACCATAATAATTAAAAACCTGGACACGGCTACTGAAGAAAAAGAAGTATATAAGGCAAAGAACACTAAAGCTAAAGGGAACAAGATTAAAGAGAGAGAAGAACTCACGGAGACAGGAGGGGAAAATGAAGAAATGGAGACGGAAGAACCTCCAAACAGCGAAGAATGGATAGTACAACAGACGAAAAAGAAAAGGAAAGATAACTAATACCAAACTGCCGACAGGGAAGAAGGAAAAATGAGCGATAGATCCGATGATAGCGGGTAAGGCTCAAAAATGGGGGAAACAAGTACCCAACTTGCTAGGAAAATGGCGGGGAAGATAAGAAACGAAAAAGAACGAGGGAACAAAACGAAAACCTATATTAAGGCGAACAGAAGGAAAAATAAAGTGGAGGGCGAGGGGACTAAAGTCATAAAAGTATTACAGATAAATGTACAAACATAAGTTTAGAAGATGGATGAATATGGACCTGGAAAGATATAGGAGGGGAAAAAAAGAAAAAGTGTGTGCTCATCATTAAGTGGCTGCTAAGTGGCACTCAGTAACGAACCATTTTAGGACATGTGTTTATATAAACTTTTTTGCTTATTTTTAGTTGTAGAAAACGTCTATGGTATAGCCAGCCCAACATTTTTGTAACACCCTTTATATTATACGATAATAACAATATTTGATATAGTAGTTTATGGAAATAACTTGAAGGAATGTCACCGTAATGTTCTAACAGTAATAAGTCGTTTGAGAAAATACAACGTAAAAGTGAAATGTAAATTTTATGAAAGCCAGGTCGAGGTTTTGGGTGATTTGATTGATTGTGAGGATGATTATCCAACAAAAGACATATTTTAACATATTTTAACCCAGATTCTATAACCGATGAAATATTAAGGCCGTATTTTAAAAGAAAACATGAAATGTCAGTAGAGAATAATTACTTATTAGTTGGAAACAAAACGATGGTACCAAAAAGTTTACAAAAGGATATTCTAAATCTATTTCAAGAACAACACTTAGGAATTATATGATCAAAAATGTTGATAAGAAGATATTCTCGGTGGCCTAGTATGAACAAAGATTTGGAAAATCATATAAGCACTTGTTCTGTATGTGAAGGAACACATCCTCAACGAGCCCTGCGAAACCATACACACCGCGGAATTTCGCCACCCACCGCCATATTTGCAGCCAATCAAACTAACCTCGCTAATTAAGAGGTGCATGCCAAACGTAGGATTTGACGATGTTTTAAACCAATTAAAGGGTGATTCTCAGTTTTTCATTAAACTCATACTGTTATTAAAACATAAAAAGATAAAATATCCTAGCGTGTTGTTAAAAGTACGAAATGAAAAATTTTTCCGAGGCATTTTTGATATCAGAGAATACAAAATACCTAATCTCAAAAGTGAAGTTTTAAATCTTAAAAGTGTGTTTAGAGATTATATACACCATGCGAATTATTTCTGTCTATCATATACATCAGAAATATCAATATATGCAGACGTGTGCATGAGAATTATCGTAGCAAATACTTTACAGACAAGGCGTAGGCTTTATGATAAACTGAAACGATTTAAAAACTTAGATTTCTTTCATCCTGAAGATCTGGTATCAAAAGATGCAAGTTTTATTGTTTATCCAGACATATATATATTCAGTCGTGTTTATGATTTCATAGCGAACCCCAGCTTTGGGAAGGGAACATTTTGGGTTGGGTGCGTAAAGTCAGAGAAATGGAAAAATCGGAAGCGGAGCGGAAGAAGGATGCAGGAAGGAAGAAAGAAGGCGAAGATCGCAAGAAAAAGGAGCCTGAAAGAAAGAAAGAAACTGGGAAGAAAGAAGAAGAAATGATGAAGGAGGAAGAATTACGAAGAAAGAAGGCGGAAGAGACAAAGCAGAAGGTGGCGAAGCTGGTAGCTGAAAGGGGGGCGGCGATGGCTGCGGAAGGGGAAAGGGACGTAGCAAACTGGGATGTTGACTCGGACTCTGTTGTACCCTCTGAAGTTAGCGAGCCAATGCAGACGGGTGATGATCAAAGAAAGCGACACAGAGATACGGATAGTGAAGGGGAAAGAGACAGAGAGTCCTCTAAAAAAGGTCTTGCTGCGGGTCCATCTTCGTCCGGGGTGAGGCCACGCCGGGGTGTTGTTCCGTCGGTATCTGAAACAGAAAGGAAGATACTTATCAAACGTTGGAGGGCTCCAAGGTCGCCAGCAGCGTAGTCGTTGAGGAGGAGATCTCCAAAGTGTTGAGGAATGAACTAAAGAACGTGAAGGTGAGGTCAATGAGAACAACGAGGAGTACAGAGATACTGTTGGAGGCGGCTGACAAGAGGGAGGTAAGTAAGATCCTATCCTGTAAAAAAATCGGGGACAATTCTGTTCACCGCAAGGTATTGGTTTTAAATTTCTATGTTGGGTGGAGCTGATGAGAGTTGAGAGAGCGTGTGGTTGTGGAGGATGGCTCTTCTGGTGTGCCGGGGGTTGGTCACCGCGGAGGAAGGTCTGGGTGCGGTACCGCCTTGGCAACGATCACTTGTATCCGTCTCCTGAGGGACTGCCGAACGGAAACGTAAGCCTGCCCCTACTGTCATCAAGGGTTTTGGTAGCTATAAACGCTGAGCAAGGCTGAGATGGCAGAGGGAGGGCCTTTGGGCACCGCGCGGCTACGTGGATGGTAGGTGTGTGCCCTCCGGGGAGGGTTCGAGGGGTCGTGCCGGGGGTCTGGTCGTGGCCTGGGCTGGATGCCGCGGGAGTGGTTTTCGGTGCGGTGGCGAGTCGTCCTGGGTGAGTATAGCGGGAGGGTGTGAACTAATTGTTATCCTGCGTTGGTCTTAGTCAGTGTAGCCCAGGTCAGTCGGCAGTGGTTTCCTGGTGCGTGGGGCCCCGCCTCCACGTGGCAGGGATGATAACTTCTCCCTTCGGGGAGAAGGCAAAGTGGGCGAGTATATATGAGAGGAGAGATTGAAGCGGCTATGGGCAATGCCCTGGTACCGCACGTTGTGTTGAGTCTGTGTTGTGTGTTTATCCAGACAATGCTTCTACACCACTCAAGACTAATCAGAGGCAATTTACCCTGTAAACAATTAAAAAACAACGACGATATGAAGTGTGATGTAAGTGAAATTAAAAATAATAATGAGTTTAATAATACAAACGATCTCGTAAGCGAACACTTAACTGTTACTCTAGATTTCGGTTCCACATTTTGTCCCAGTACTAATTTTAATCTCAATTTGAAATAGTTGAATAATATGAATAGTACCAATAGTAACCGACTATAGTATCAAATTCGATGTGTCCACAAATGAAATAAATGTACCAAAGCCAATATTAAATTTGCCAGAACCTAACTTTAAACGCGTTTTACCCGAAGCTACTTGTAACAAGATTCTACAAGCTGCAACCTATAAACGTTGCACTATTCAAGAGGGATATTTCGTTTACCGTTAAAATGTATAGTTTGCAACAATATAATTTATTTAAAAAAAAATACATGGTAGCTCTACTGAGCCCTTCATTTTATATTTTGGTGCTACAGGTGGCGTCTGTAAGAAGCCAATGTTATATCCTACAAGAATATTCTTGTATTCTGGAGTTTTGAAAATATCCACGAATAGAATTTGTCCCGTAGTTGACATTTTAACCCTGGAAGAAGATACTTTGCTAGGAAAAAATGGACATCGATGGACGACGAAAATTCCGGAGGCTCGAGGTCGCCCTACGCGAGAAAATATTGTAATGCATTTACCGGGACCCAAAGGAGAGGCCAGAACGGTTCAAACTCCTCTACAAGCTTGGAGTTTGTTGTTCAACGATCATATGATGAATATAACTGTTTTTCATGCAAATGAAGAAATTGCACGAAAAAATATTGCTGTTAACGTACAAAGCTACACGAAACCAACCAATAACACAGAAATAAAAGCTTTCATTGGGTTATTGTACCTTGCAGGTGCATTACGCATATCCAATTCCAATTTGGATGAGGTCTGATGTGTAGCATACGGAAATGGAATATTTCGTGCAACAATGTCACAACAACGATTTAATTTTTTGGCTTCGTGCCTTAGGTTCGATTGCAAAGAAACTAGAATTGAAAGAAGGTTGATTGACAAACTCGCCCCCATACGAAAATTATGAGATATCTTTGTGAACAATTGTTTAGCATTCTATACGCCATATGAATACTGTACCATTGACGAGCAACTTGTTGCATTTCGTGGAAAGTGTCCGTTCCGTATTTATATGGCTAGTAAACCAGATAAGTATGGTATTAAAATATTAATGATGAATGATTCCAAAACGTATTATATGGTAAATGCAATTCCCTATATCGGAAAAGTAAATCCAGAAAATGATTCGGTACCTACTTATTATGTCCGAAAGCTTTCAGAACCCATTAAAGGAACTTCTCGGAATATAACATTTGATAATTGGTTTACGTCAATACCATTAGCAGATATAATGTATAACGAATATCAGTTAACAATCCTTGGAACGTTAAGAAGAAACAAGAAAGAAATACCCCCTAAATTTATCAATAAAAAGGGAGTAGGCACATCATTATTTGCATATGATAGAAAGAAAACGCTTGTTTCCTATACACCAAAAAAAACAAAAATGTATTATTATTGTCAACACTAAAACCCGATGCATCGATTAACCTCGATACCGGAAAGCCAAATCTGATACACACGTACAATGAAACTAAAGGGGGAACAGACACGTTTGACCAACTGTGTCATTCATACACTACTGCCCGTAAAACCAGACGATGGCCTTTAAGATTTTGGTTCAATATTGTTGATACCAGTGGAGTAAATGCTTTAATTTTGTTCTCTCTTGCAAACCCATATTGGAAAACAAAGAGATGTCATAGTAGAAAATTCTTTTTAAAGGAATTAGGAATGGCTTTAATAAAACCTCATTTACAGGAGCGAATGCAAGTGACGACATTGCAAAAAACATTACGTGTTAAAATTTATGAAATCCTCAACAATGAAGAGTTACCCAAGCAAAGTGTTAACACTAATTTAGATAAAAGGGTTCGATGTGCCTTTTGTGATACAGGAAATGATAGGAAAACAAAGTTTGCGTGCTCTGCTTGCGGAAAACCATATTGTTTGGAGCACCGTGCAAAACTCTGTTACGAGTGTCAACATTTTTTTTTACACTAACTTCAAAAAACTATTTTTCGTTTTGTGAACTTTTTCCTACTGTACATAAAACATATTTTTTTAATTTTTGTTAATTCAAATTTTAAAAGTAATTACTGTAGTTTTTGTCGAACAATACGAAATATATAAGTAAATTCATAAAAAAAATTGATTTTATTTGTACCACCACAATAATATAAGGATAACCACATATCTTTTACAAAGATAGTCTTATTTATCTACTATTATTTAAAAAAGTTGTTCAAGGGTCTGTGAGACCCATGTGTGACATTTACATTACACAAAATAAGTGTGATGTTCCAGGAAATGGAACAAAAGAAAGGATGAAAGGATTAAATGATTTCAAAACGTTCTGCGAGGAAAAATGTAAATGGCCTGTAACAAGCGGAATTGTAACAGATTTTAGTTTTGTTAATATCCACGCCATTTGTAAATCGATGAATAGCTGTAAACTTTTAGATTATCTCCACATACATATATGGTATGATTGTCAATCAAAAAGAAAAACACGATGTTTTTATAGGAATTCACCTTTGCTCTTCGCATTTTATTAAAATAATTATAAAAGATGTAAATAGTTAATACACAGATAAAAACTGCAGGGAGACAGTAAAGAAAATTTTAGTCAAACTTTTAATTATTGATAATTTTGATCTAATTCAAATTTGGTTTTCAAAATGAAACCAATGTTGCGCCATAGATACACTAAATTGCTGATATACCATTAGTAGATGCCGATGAGTTGATAGATATAATACCTATGGAGACCGGCAGAATGTACGACGCAAACCTATTTTACGTACTTTTTAAGAAAATTTCCGTTATGATCGATATTTTATTGGAAGAAGGACCAATTAATAATATTTACCAAAATCGCCCGTTTTTGGAATTAATTCTGAAAAAATACTTGGCATATGGAGCATAAATATGTCCACTATGGAGCGATGCAATGTTAAAACTCTTGAGACTTCTGTGAACCGTGTGAGTGATGACCTTGTGATCTGAAAAACAACGTCTTATCAATTAATCGAAACTTAAAAGTTTCTCGCCTGATAAGAAAATTAAGAAACAATGTACTAACTTTATGCAAAGAAGTCAATGTTAATGTAAGTAAAGAACGCCTTACTCGACGAAGAACCAAAAACCATAATTTATATTCCGAAATACGTTCCCAGGAACAGTGGACAAAGAAAAATAAACCCAAAAACACGTATTAATAATAATAATGTTTATGCAATAGTATGAATACAAAATATACAAAGAATATAAAGAAAAATATACATTTTATGTAAACATTACAAGAAAAAAGTAATAATAATTCTAGATTAAGCATATAGTAGAAATTTGAAGCAGTATATTATGGAAACAGATATGTAAACACGGCTCCAACTATTTAGGATAGTTCTTCTTCAACAGAGCCTACATCTTGTTGCTACTGTTCCAGAGGAATGTTTGGTACAACCACAAATTGGGTTGCGTTGGACTGTGATGAAAAAACCAATAAAACTTATACAAAAGACTTTTTATGCAAATTTTGTGAAAATGAAAATGATTTTAAATGTGCCTACTGTTTTTGTAGAGATTTTAATGTAATTACTGACGGGGTGCAGTGTGACAGCTGTAAACAATGGATACACCAAAAATGTGATAGTAGTGAAAGAACATGAAGCGAATCATTTTCATGTAAATAGTGCTCTTAAACCTCTGCTAACGAAAGGATTACAGCAGAATCCAATAATTCTTACATTCAACAGACCGCAACATTAAAATTTTTACCGAATGGCTTGGTAGATGACATTGAGTTTTATGCAACATTACCGAATAAAATCTACTGCACCGTTGCTTATTACAACAATATAAAGCGTAATATATAGCGACAATTACACTAGCTTAAATCCGAAAACCACAACTTTTCTATCGACATCTTGCTACGCCTAATAAACATAAAGCCATCCGTTCACGCCGAATTTTCTGTAGCTTTGTTGATTACAAATTAAAGCGTGTGAAACAGACTTCACTATATACCGGGCGACATCGCTGAAATGGCGTGCTATGTTTGGCGTGCTGTTTTCACACCGGTTGCGATACACACCGTATTTTCAATCGAAACGTTTAGAAAGCATTTTTAACGTTTTCCAAATGCCTGAAGAAAAAAAAGCTGCTAATCTTTTACATTACATGGGAGCCGATGCTTATGTCTTGTGCGATAAATTATCTCCAGTTAATCCAAGCAATAAAACGTACGATTAATTAATACAAGAAATGAAACATGATTACAATACCGAGCCATTGGAAATAGCTGAAAACCTCCGGTTTTTCCAACGTAAACAGAACGATGATTTAGTGTCATTACAACGTTTGGTAACCACATGCAAATTTGGCAACTCCCTAAAAAAGGACTTCGTAATCAATTTGTTTTTGGTTTATAGAATCAGAACAAACAGAGCCGCTTACTGGAAGGACATTGTAGAGGCAAATAAATGTATACATATTGAAACGATTTGTTTAAAATGTAAAGTAAAAGATCACCTGGAAAGGTTTGTCTGAAGAGCAAAAAGGAAGGGTCTACCAACCAAATTGAAGAAATATTACATGTAAGATTAGAGCATACAAATTACAGCGACAAGTTTATGATTGCAGTAAAAGTTCAAGTCCTGTATATTCCTACATATATCTAAAATGTATGGTTTTCGTAGAAACTTGAAAAAATGAAATTTTCTTGGTTATTAGTAAATTTAGAATTATCAGTTAGCTTTGGTTTGAAACAACCAAACCGAAGAAGCAAAAACTATCGTATCAAATGAAATAATTTGACATTTACATAGCAAAAGGGTTAATCATGTCCCATTTAAGATTTAGTAATGAAGATTACTTTAATTTGTTAGTTATATACGGGGAATGTAATAAGATAATTAAAAGGGCCTGCGAAACCTTTCATGCGCGATATCCGGATAGACCGAATCACACTCATGACACCCTAACACGACTAATTGATGAGCACGAAAGGGTTAAACCTGTCATAGATAACGAAGAAAATTAAATTCCAGTTTTGGGGTACTTCAGAGCGTATCCTGAAAATTCGTTATCAGATGCTAAAAGAGATTTGGGAATATCTGAGGAAAGCATTCATAGGATTTAAAAAATAACATAACTTTCGAGCTTATTCTTATTCATTGGCATAAAGTTTAACCTTCCGTTGGTCTGGCCTGGTCTCACAGACCGGTTCAATATTAATGCATGCGTATTTTTGTAGAAATAGGAGGGGGAGATGGCGCGGATCGTCTAGCTTCTTAACTTAAGGTAGCCACAGACGTCGTTCTTTTTTGGCAGTTTTAACCGCACGGGTAAAACTGTACCGGTAAAACTGTCGGTGTGTGGGCAAAAACCGTCCTTCTTGCCGGCGTTCAAAAATATCTGCTGCAGCTTGATTTTAACCGTCCGTTTTCAAACGTGTTCGTTCAAGTCGGTTCGTGTGTGTGACGACGCAGTTAAGAAGGACCGGTTTTGTCAGTGTCGACTCTGTCCTCGATTAACCGCAAGTTATTTTGTTGTTGTTTTCACAATGACAGACCTAAGGAGTTACAACAAACAATTTATAATTGAGTTCATAGAATTGTATAGAAGCCATCCGTGCCTTTGGAAAATTAAATCTACTGAATATTCTGATAGAGATAAAAAAAATAAAGCTTACGAAGACATGATAATAAAATTACAAGAAGTAGATAATTCCGCAACGAAAGAATCTGTTAAAAAGAAAATAGACTCTCTACGTGGTTGCTTCCGAAAGGAGTTAAAAAAAGTAATACAATCTAAGAAATCTGGTTCGGGGACTGATGAGGTGTACAAGCCCCATTTCTGGTACTACGAATATTTATTATTCCTTACAGACCAGGAAACACCGAGAGAAACAGTATCGAATATTGATGAAGAGACAAATAGCAATCAAGTAAGTAAAATAGTATATTAAGTATCCAGAACGGTAAGTACAATTTACCGGTCGACGACAATGTTTGGAGACTGAGCGACGCGTTACGTAGCGGAGCGAAGGTACAATATTGTCGGAAACCGGTTAATTGCTCACCGTTCGTGATGGTGACAACATTTTTTGCACGACCGAAATGAATATAAATAGAAAAATAATTTACTGAAATATATTGACATTTATAATTATTTTGTCAAAATTTGAATTAATTACGTTGCCCTGGTTTTATTTACAAATTATTAGTTATTTATTTATTTTAATATTCTAGGTTTCTGACAATGAATTAACTCCTGAGGTGCTAGAATCTCCCGGTATCTGTTCACCGCCCACACCTAGTTCATCTACATCACAAACATCTGTACGGCTATCTAAAGCATCGAAAAGATACAACAATAAATGCGACGAAGTGTTAGACGTGATTGGGAAACGTTTATCAGAACCTTCGACCAGTATTGCAGATAAATTTACTGATATTGGAAAAGCATGGGCATCGAAATTAAGAGACCTCGATCCCCAACAAGCTATACACGCAGAAAAATTAATAAACGATATATTCTACGAGGCACAGATGGGAAATTTAAATCGCAATTGTTTTGTACAAACGCAACATGAACTTTATACAAACAACGTTCAGCCTCCATTCAACACTCGGCAATCACAAACCCATCCTTCATTCAACAATCAAACCTCATTAAACACTCAACTCCCATTTAACACTCAGCAATTATTACACACTCAACCCTCATTTAACAATCAGCCTCTATTCAACACTCAGCAATCATTGCACACTTACCCTCATTTAACACTCAATCCTCATTAAACAGTCAGCCTCTATTCAACACTCAGCAATCATTGCCCACTCAAACCTCATGCACACCTCTCAATAATACGCAACCAAATGAAAAATCGCGAACACCCAATAATCAAACGGCTGCTCTGTTGTTTCAAAACTTCAGTGGTTTTGTGGATGGAGAAACATAATTTATATTACCTACATAATATTTCATTTTAATAATTTGATGTGTACATTGTTTGGAAAATATCTTTGTTTTATAACTCTTCTTTTATTATTGACTTTGTATTAATATTCAATAAACTTACCTTTAGATATGTGCAAATGGCTTGAGCGTGTAAACCAGCCTATAGAAACACTATTCGTAAATAAACAAAATAGACCGATCGTGCAAAAAATATATTTTTTATTTATATGTACATTATATTTATTAATAAAAAAATCTTAAGAAATCTAGAACTACAAAGTATTAAACAAAGTTTTGTTGCCAGGGTAGTGATCCCTCATTATGAAAGTAAGTCATAAATAAATTACGGACCCTTTTTGCTTCTTCAGATGCATGTCTGTTGTGTCCACGCTGTAAATTAAGAGTTGCTTGTTCTGCTTTTAAACCATTTTCTATGTGACCTGTGCAGTAATCTTCTGAATAAAAACAAGTTGAAGGTGCATAATTTTCCTGACGCTTCTTAATCAAAAAGTTATGAAGAATGCAACATGTCATGACGATTTTATCAATATTTTCTAATTTTAAATTAATTGCAGAATGAAAGATCCTGAATCTTGCAACCATTATTCCAAATGTATTTTCTATTATCCGGCGTGCTCTGGATAATCTGTAGTTAAATATTTTTCTTTCTCTGTTCAATTCTTTTTGGCTGAATGGTTTTAAAAAATTGTCTCTCAACGCGAAAGCTTCATCTCCAATGAAGACATAGGGCAGTGATTCATTACTGTTATCTGTTTTACAACTGGATGGTAACTTAAGAGTGCCATTTATAAGTTTATCATAAAATAAAGTGTTTTCTATTACACCACCATCAGATACTCTACCATTTGTGCCACAATCGCACATGATAAATTCATAATTCGCATTTGCGATCGCCATTAATACGATACTATGTCTGCCTTTGTAATTCCAATAAAAAGAACCGCTATTTGGAGGTGGCACTATATTTATGTGTTTCCCATCTACAGCTCCTAAACAATGAGGAAAATTCCTTTTTTTCAAATGTTTGGGCTATGATTTTCCATTCTTCTTCGGTCCTGGAAAACTGAAATAAAAAATCATTATAAATATAAATTATTTTTAACAATCATAGTTAATTATTGTATAATTTGATTGAATATAATTAATTGTTTTCTTTCAGGATGAATCTAACTATACTCCTGTACTATCCCCGGTATCTCCTTTTGAAAAGAACGTATGCACAGATCGGGCGCTGTCAGCATGTTCCAATACTCCTTCAGTACGTTCTTCCGTTAGTAGCACAAGAAAGCGTAACATAACGGACAGAGCCGACGAAATTTTGGAGAAAGTGCGTGCAAAGCTGGATATGAATATTAAAGAAGACAACTTTGACGTGATAGGAAAAAATATTGACAACAAATTGAGACAGTT